ATCCACTCTAACAAAATAAAAATAATCATTTGTTTTTTTATACGTCTAGAACAAAATTAATGGGCATTACATGAAAACGATATTTTATACGAAGTTGAATTCTCTTAGTCTACCGAATTTCATGAAAATTGCTTAAGCAATAATTAAATTATAAAATTATTTTCAGATAAAATACAGACAAAAATTAGCTTACATTTTACTCGATAGCATATTTATTCTATTTGTATAAATTATTTGTAATTGAATCAAATAGTTTGAGTCATTGGAAAGTTAATGTATAATACATACACCCAACAGGCGCATAAACTGTAATGTATACAATCGACGGTTTTATTGTAGTATTGTATATATATTGAAAACGATTTCTATTTTTCCGATTGTCAGAAAAACTACTGAACCTATCGGCGTAGGACTTAATCACTCGACGCAAAAACGTTTGTACGTCTTGGGCTATTTCTTTTATGAATTTCTTTCACTTTCATAACCCATAACGCCCAGAGACGCGGGCGCGTGATTGATAGTGTAATTAACATATATTCTGGTACAATTTAATCGTTATCACCTTTCTTGTAGTCGGCCAGCTTGTACAGCACGGTCTGGTCCTCGCTCGAGGCCTGGGAGATGACCCGGTCGAGCACGGAGCCCGCGGCCGGCGCGCCCCCCGGCCCGCACAGCCTCCTCACCGCTGCGCCCATCTTCATACGACCTAAGAAAAACCGGCTAAGCGAGCGTCGGGCCGCGTGCATTGCAGGGTACCGTAGTTGCTGATCGCGATGTGCGGACATGAAGTTGGATTTTTTAAAATACATTATCAACATATTAATTGAGTTCAAGGTTAAAGTGATTTTGAGTGCGATTTGCACGAAATTTCTCCAAATATACTTTATTTATTTGTCGACTATTTCTTGTTAACTTGTAAAGCTTACTTAACTGTGATAGTTTTCCTTTTACCTTCGTTACGCTTTTATTCACTAGTCCTGTGAATTTTTGAAGTGAAACTTCTTTGGGCGCGTTGAGAGTGAAATTTCAAGGTCGCGTCACCGCAACACCGTCACGGCGTAATAGTAATATTAGCGGGACGATGAGGCCGTCACGATTTTGGATATTGAAAGACGGAGAGCGACCGAATAGATTGCCAGAAAGAAAGAGACAAAAATAGTAAACATGCCCTATTCTATTGCTGTAGAGAGCATTCTGTTTACTAGGCTCCTGAATTATGTTGCATGTAACACGTATATTTCTTATTATAACTTCTACAAATTTTTAAGTATAATAATTATATCATTATAAATGTAATTTACTAGTAATTATAATAACAATGACAATGATAATGACAAATCTGAGTATATTATATGCTTGTACATATTTGTCTATCAATTAAAATAGCTTTTATTTTAAAACGCAAAAAAAAATGTACATTTCTTAAACATCCTTTATCATAATGGATTTAAACATAAAAAGTATATATAACCAGAAGTTTTGCTTCTTACACGTGTACACTGATACACGCACAGCTTTTTTTCATATATCGAAGAATAACTATTACGGGAGCAAAACACTTCACTATAACAAAAATTAACTTTCAAAGTTTATTTATTTCGCAAACGGATCCCTGAATCGTAATGGTTTTTGGACACCCACAATATTTTTCAATGACCTATCCAACAACGTCCCGCACCACGGGATATACGAAAAAAAATCTAATAAAGAATAAGAAAAAATGAATAAGAAGATTTTACTTTATCTCTTTCGGCGTGATGCCATATTGCAGCTTTTTAATGTTAAGAGTCCCTGAACTAAATTACAAACAGGCAGACTCAGGGACAGACGGATATGGCGAAACTATGATGGTTCCTTGTTAACTACGGAACCTTAAAGAGTGTAAATTTTATTCTTGAATTTGATTTTCGTCACCTTCACTTTTTTGTCAAAATGTTATTCCAAATATTTTATTACATTATTTTTATGATACACATTGAACAAAATGTTTATTTAATAAGATCTTCATAAGCAAATTTTAATATGTAATTATCAATCGGTGAAACGGTTTCTGTAAATATTTTGTTAAAGTGTCTGTATCTGTCTATATGGTCATTTGTTTGTAACTTGGTGAATATTTTATGTCGTCTTATCATCTAAAGACATAAGAATAATTATCATGTAACATAATCACCTAAGAATAATGTACTATATAAAACACTCCTAATTGAACATAGCATTAGGAGACTTAATTTATGCAATATGTAAACAAACACAAACAAAGCGTCCGGATCGCTAATAATACATATATGGATAGATGTAATTAAGGTGCCGCGCGATTGCCAAATCATTATATTTATTATAGCAAATGTCAAATATTAATACGGTCACTACAAATGTTGGTAAGTTAGTAATTAGGAAACAACTTACATGAAGTTGTCGAACAGTGCTTCTGTATACACTGACTAAAAGAACTGAGTTGGTTTTTATATGTGATCTCGCAACTTTTTGCCGCGGAAGGACGGTGTTGTCAGACGCATTTTCGTACATTTTACGATTTTGACAGGATGGCATATACAAATACAGGAGCCGCTACATATTTTAAAATAACAATTCAGTTCATGGGAGTATCTATATGAAATTAAATTGCTTATTTCAGAAGAAATAGACAATGAGGTTCCGACATGCTTAATTATAACCTAATTCTTGTAACTTATTCAATGGATTTAGGAGTTCATGTCAAGTTCCCAATTTATCATTGTTCCCTGGTACAAAAGGCGAAGTTAGTCCCCTTAGTGTTCTAATTATAAATATAAGCAATTACAGCCTACAACTCCTCCCAGTGCATTTGACATTATAGGAATATGCAGCCGCGACTATAATTTTGGTTTTTCTTTTACCTCTCCATTTTGCCGTAGTCGGTTGTCTTAACTCACCATAAACATATTCTTCTCTTCGTCGAAGACCAGGATCCTGCTCAACTTTTTCAGATCAAGCAATTTCCAGGCCAGCATTTTCTGTTTCTCGTCCACGCTTTACGTCACTACCTCAAATTAGGTCACCTAATTGCATTCATAATGAATCAACTTTACAGCATAAAAATAATATATATGTATATATATAAAGAATCGAATATTTCATAATTTTATTTATGCAGAAATACTGCTGATTATGTTTTCCTTTTTTAAAATAAAATAAATTTATCCACTCATCCACTGTTTTATATCGTTAATAAAAATTAAAAAAGGTAACTCGTCATTAGATAGCACATAACTCAAAACACAACAATTCTGTTTTGGGCGCGAAGTCTATGGAAAAAGGAAAAAATAACTTCTCTACAAAATTATCTTGTTCCATATAAACAAGCTTTGTTCCCATGGTGATCTGAAATCATATGACCGAAGCGACGGAGCGGGGACAGTCACGAGCTGCTAAGTTAAATTTCACAGTCAAAACTTCCATTCTATGTTCAATCTGTATGGATTCAATAAAATTAGATCGATTTTTCTTAGATTAAAATGTATAGAAAAAACCTTAGCAAGTCGTACAGCAACCTCTAACGATGTGTAATGTCTAATGGTGAATTTGTAATGATAAATTCATAATTCAGTGATGCATAATATAATAACATGAAATATATAGTATTTCGAGTGGTATACATGACCTATGAAATAATGATTTTCAGTTTTATATGATTTTCTTCACAATTTGAAGGAATCGCGGTAGCCAGTGAAATTCTCACAGCCGATATTAATCATGCATATTTTACATATTTAATACTTTTATTTTTACAAAATGCCATACAAATGACGTCACGCCGACACACTGCAGCTCAAGCGCCAACTGCAGGCCGTCCGAAGAGTCGTATTTATAGCATATTGAATATCGCACACTTATCTGCACTTTCCGTCACACTGCTTCTGTCGCATTGACGAAATCATGGTCAACCAAACGTCAATAGGAAATGACGCGCATACTCAGAGCTAAAAACGTCATAAATCGCAGATTGAAACCATCAATCGTTACTGGCTTTATCGTGAAGGCGGTAGATATTATGATGGACGTTGCGTGTCGCTGAAGCTTCAGCGAGACCCTCACTGTAAACGCGACGTGGAGTTGTACAAATACAAGAATTGTTTACTTGCTCGCTTAGGTCAGGTCAGGTCGTGGCGAGGGGATTCTTACGGCGATACGGAATATTGATATCGTTTTACCATGCGACAAAAGTGTGTATAATATAATGAACTAAAGTCATTGTAAAAAAAACTCATCTCGGGATATACGGTTGGGACGAAGTTACTTTCGTTATATGTAAATATATCTTATGAATTGAATAATAACAATGATATTAATTAAGACGTTTGAATGTAATTAAATAAATAACATTAATATAAGTGAATCAATGTAAGAAATTTTATAAGTTGTATAATATATAAACATTTTTTTTATTGATTATTATAATTCTAAAAAAAAGGCACTAAACAACGCCATCTCTTTTATTTATTAAAGACTGTTAAGTTCGTGAATTTTAAATATTATATAGTTATGAAATAAACAATAGATGTCACTTTTCCATATTTACATAAGCGTTTATTATTTTTAAGTTCAAACTGAATACTCTTCAGGACTAAAACAATTCAAGAGTTATATTCAATATTTTAGGAAAAGGAAAGGGAAAATATAAATTATACACAAGAACAATGAAATAAATTAACAACCTTTGAAAGTGATGAAACGATGAATTAAAAAAAAAGAATGAAGGAATGGTAATAAAATATAATTAATATTAAATAAAAATAAATGCGTTCAGCAAAAAGCCAACATCACGCGGTGTTCCCAGGCGGTCACCCATCCAAGTACTGACCGCGCCCGACGCTGCTTAACTTCGGTGATCGGACGAGAACCGGTGTACTCAGCGTGGTATGGACGTTGGCGGCGGTCGGAGTAAAAGACAGGATTAGGAGGAGTGCTTGGTCCTAGTGATGTATTTAAATAAAAATAAATGCGTTCAGCAAAAAGCCAACATCACGCGGTGTTCCCAGGCGGTCACCCATCCAAGTACTGACCGCGCCCGACGCTGCTTAACTTCGGTCGGACGAACAAACAAACAAACAAAACAAAAAACCAAAACAAAATTCAGTGTGGTATGGAAGTTGGCAAACAAAATTATAAAAATGTTAAATAAAGCAACAGCGGTCAGCATTTCTCGTTGCAGTCACACTTATTTTACAAGCTTTTATTTACTTTCGCTTGTCTGTCTGTAATCAAATCTTTATTGAGTAATTGAGTAATCAAATCTTCACTTCCTGGTTTCCGATTGCGATAAAATTTTGCATATATATCATCGTGTGACAATACATTATTATGATGACATGAAGGTGATCTGATGATGGAGCTAGGAGGTGGCCATAGGAACTCCGTAATAAAATGACGTAACTTCATCTAGTTTGAGCTCGTTTGATTCGTCTTGACGAGAACTTTGTCTTTAGATGGTATCCAGAGTCTGACAATAGAGCTGGAAAGTGGCCATAGGAATTCTGTAATAAAACGACATAAACCCATCAAGTTTGTGGTTCGTATGATTCGTCTTGACCAGTACTTTTTCTGGGTCTGATGATGGAGCTGGGAAGTGGTCATAGGAATTGTGTAATAAAACGACACAATCCCATCGAGTACGGACGCGTTTGATTCTTCTTAACGAGTATTTTGATCCTCAAGAGTAACCAGGGTTTGATGATGAAAGCTGGAAGGTGGCCACAGGATCGTCGTAATAAAACGACGTAACCGCATCGCGTTCGGGCTCTTTGGATTCGTTTTGATAAGGGATTTGGTCTTAGATAATATCCATATGTAATCCCATCAGATTTGGGAAAATAAGTTCGTTCCAGTTAAAAGTGTAAATTCTGTTACTACTACTTATTATTACGGGCTACGGAAAAATGCAGTTACGCGCAACAAACTATGCTGTAGCAAATCCCAAATCGTAAATACTAAAAAGTGAAAAATAAAAAATATTTTTTTTTAATGCAAGCTTTTATTACTTGTTAATCAAAAGAAGTGAAAAGTTAAACATAATTTAATTTTGATAAAAAATACACCATTTTATAGATGTACTAGCGGTCACCCACCCGCTTCGCTGGTCGTAAGTTTAATTTTAGCAATTTTTTTTTATTATTCAAACGTGCCCCCGGTTTCGCTCCCGTGGATATAGATTACAACGAATCCTTCATCTTCTATGCCGACTGATTTTGCTGTCAATTTTGGTCGCGATCACGGTCATATTCTCGATACCGATCTTGGTCCTCCATTTGGTATTAATGGTAGTAATAACAAATTACGATTTATACTGGAACGGACATCGCAACGCAACGAAATGTATAAATATCATTATTACTGGTAATATTACATTACTATTTGAGAATATAATATACCTCTACGAAAAATTTAATTACTGGTTAGTCCAGCCGTCAGCGTATGAGAAATATCCATACAAATATACTTTTACATTTTTAGGGTTCCGTACCTCAAAAGGAAAAACGGAACCCTTATAGGATCACTTTGTTGTCCGTCCATCTGTCTGTCAAGACCGTTTTTCTCAGAAACGCGTGGAGGTATCAAGCTGAAATTTATATCAAATACTCAGGTTTACTGTCCCTTGGAGCTATAGAAAAAATCAAACTTCTAAGGCAACGCAGTCAAAAGATACCGCCGTTTATGCCGCAAATTTTTAACACTCGCAAGGGAATGAAAACCTACAGGGTACTTCGCGTGAACTCGGGATCTTGAAATTCGGTACAAAGGAACGTATTATAACACAGATAAAGAGAAAATTGCGAAAACCATAAACTTTTAGTTACATCATATAATAAAAATGTTTTTAATAATTTTAAGCTTACTACACCTTTCCTCGTGAACGCGTAGAGGTGTTAAATTGAAATTCATATCAAATACTTAGGTCAATTGCCTTAAAGTTGTTAAAAAAAATTATAAACATAATTGTAGTTACCGCACTGACCGCGACTTATCTCTATGTATGGGAAGGGGGCAACATTGTATCGCGTATGTACGTCGCAATCTTAAAGATGCTTTGACAGATGGATCATGTAAAATATATTATTTAAATAACCCAAGCGCTGCAAACGGCCATTATGAATGCTTGCATTTTGAAATGTTTAATGTCAGAATGATAACTGTATATAGGTCACCACAATGTCAAATTAATGTTGCAATACAATGCATAAATACAACAATATACGGCAGCAACCTCAATAGGTATACTCCATGTTCTCGTCTTATTGTTGTGGGAGACTTCAATATCGATTTTAGAATGAATCCCCAAAATGGAATTTCCACATATTTTTCATCCATAAACATGTTTCCGTTAATAAATACTGGTACTACAAGAAGTACTATTTCTTGTAGTGTTAGTGTTTATTAACTATAGATAACGTTTTTTCGAACTTCAATGTTCAATGTGATTATTATTCACGCCTTTTTCAGTCACCATTTACACATCTGGTTCAAATTTAATACTTAATTAGTATTTTTGAATCAGATTTCTAAATAGTGACTAAAAAATTTTGTAAATAAATAACTCTGATAAAAGAACTTTTGTAAGACTGCTGCAAGGCTAGTATAGGTATTTCAGTTATATTATAAAATAAATGATATGTCTTATATAAGACAAAGGATCACTGAAACAATAAAGAGACTTTTGTCTTAAATTTACACTCCTCCAACTTTCCACATCGTAATGTTATGGATTTCATTTTGCATTAAAAATACCATAACTATGACTCGATTGTCGTGATGGGTGAACTTTTACTCATATACCTACAGGTATGTACGGAACTCTCGGTGCGAGTCCGACTCGCACTTGGCCGGTTTTTTATATTATAAATGGCCTATACCCATCTACAAATAATTGCACGTCGAATAGTTAAAGTCCCAATTACAATCCGCTCAGCTGACAGCGTATGATAAACATCCATATATTTTCATTATATTTGTATTAATGACATCACATTTTTTTAGATAAAAACGAGTTGCATTTTGACTACATGAAAAATAAATAAAGTGTAACACGCATTTGTTTTTAAAAATGTGATATAATATAACTATAAAATGATATACATATTTCTTATCAGAATCAAATTATTTTTTTTCATATAGGTTCGATCGGCCGAGCACCTGAGTGTAAGGTGCGATAAGGAATATCGTTCCAATAAAGATTTAATGGAAAAACAATAACAATAATTGTGATAAATAAATTTTCTTTAAGAAAAACAGTTTTAATATTCGACAATCAAAAGTCGAAAAACGGAACAGTACAGTTAAAACTCAAGTCTTCGCAGATAGACGAACTGTCACCACTGAGAAATGCCATCATACGCAGAGCCGGATCTACCATGTGGCTTTTTGGGCTTCAGCCCAGAGCCCCGTGGATTCAAGGGGCCCTAGGCTAAGTCAAGTCAGTCAAAAATAGATGGTATGCGAAAAAATAGGTGGACCCTAAGTAGTATTAGCCCAGGGTTCTTAACTCACGGTCCGGCCCTGATCATACATTAAAAGTGATCGAGTCGTAAGATTAAATTATTTCGACCGACAAGTTGATGGTGAACGGTCGAATGTTTCAATTGTGTTAGTATTAATGATAATCAATTTCATGTTTGAAAATTTACACGAGAGTATACATTTTATGTACGTTCTTAAAATAAATGTGTACGCGATCTTTACGTCTAATAAGACATAATTAGAGACCGCGCTTTATAAGTCGTCTTTCGTGCTGTTTTATATTTATGTATAAAAAAAATACGTATTTGTATAGGCGAGTAATTTGGGGTACTTGAATAAATCTACATATGTAAAACAATAAAATACCATCATTAGGTTTATTTTATAAGTCGAGAATTTTTCGTTTATTCCTGCGTCATTCTACTTCAACTTCACCAATAACATGATATAATATCAAAATAAAGCCAAACGAGGAGATCAAGCAGTTTTACTATATTTTATAATGTACATTACATAAAAAAAAAACTTCATACTTATTCCCTTGCTGCCGAAAACAAATTTTCCGTATCAAGATTTTTCTGGACAATGTCATTAAGGCCATGTCTGCCTTGACCGCGGGTAATTTTGAATGAATATTTTTAGAAAACTGTTATTCCGCAGCATATCAAAAAAAAAATTAGGTGTACAAAATATGCTCCAAATTCTACCGTAATGAAAACTTAATTAAGATGAAGTCATAAGCCCGAGAAGGAGTTTTTTGATCAACTATATCGTTTAATTAATCTTTCAATTTTCTCGTGTGTTTAAAATTTATGAAATTATAGAGACCGTTCTATACGATGCCCGAAGCCATATATAATTTTCAAAAGCTTGACCAATTGAAAAAAAACCTGTAAATATGTTTTACAAATCAATTTATCAACGATTGAGGATAGATCAAGAGTTCTTTATAGCAGAAAAAAATATATTGTATACATTTCATAATTCTCTAATCGACGATCGTTTTATATTTTGCAATAATTGCTTAAATTAATTTTGAAAAATATATTTAACATTGTTTACTTACGCCCTTTTATTTCAAGCCGTACACTGCTATGCATCTCGCTTGTGTACGACAAAGCTGTCGCTCCATCCTCACTCTGTGCGCATATTTCGGAGTGGTACCACGTCTTTGAGTTTCGAAGTTATATTGAAGTTGTGTCGTGTGGTTATTAAATAGAGGCATTTGATTATATATTGATTAGAAAAATATAAGTGTGTAATAAATAATGATTAATTCAGATTCATATGTAATGTTAGTCTAGTAGTGATTGGAATAGTGATTAATAGTGAAGAAATAAAGCTACTTAATTCTTTATTGTTGTTAAAGTGAAAATAGTTTAACAAATACTTTAAATTTTTTTTTTATTCTCATAAGGATTTATATAGATTGTTGTTTAGGATAGTAATTTAAAATGGGTAACAAGGAAAATAAACGTAAACCTCGTAAAAGTGCAACGTACATGAAAAATATTAAACGATTACACCATTTACTAAGGTAAGTGGCAATAATCGACCCATAGTGTATGATTTTATTCT